AATCAGTTGAATAAAAATTAATGACAAGTCAGAACCGCTGGAATTGGAAACAACCGATTCGGATGGGCCCCTCTAGCGTCAGTGCGATGGGTTGTTGGCCATTCTCTTTCGAGGTCTTTTGTTTCCTCTTTCAAGTAGCAGGTCTTGTGATTCAGGGAGAATAATAAAAAAATAAAATAAAATAAACAGGTTTTGTGATTGAGGGAGAATATAAATAAAATAAATTAGAGATGGATAAATTATACTCTTTTTGAGTAAGTAAGGTGTACATCTCACCATCTTTTCACGATATAAAACTTTTGGGAAAGGTTTCTATACTTCTCGTACAGTATAGAAGTTTTATCCTCCCCCTACCATCCAGCCGTCCAATTTTGATCAAGATAGTCACTCGTTGTTTGATTTTAGATCTGATTTCTCAAAGTATTTTATTTTTAGTTTTTTTTAAACAAATTATATGAATATGAAATTTGGTACGTTGCCATCTTCTGATTGAGGCGCACCTATTAAAAATATTAAAAATAAATTTTTTGATAAAATTTAATGACCAAAATACCTTTTGAAAAATTTAAGAGTATTTGGTCATTTAATTTTATTGAAAATATTTTTTTTATATTTTTTTCTAGTGCGACTTTAATAGAGGGGATGGACGTCCAACCTTTGGTATCAAAATAGTTTATAAAAAATTAAAATTAAAATTAAAATACCGTAGAGACGTGAAATTGTCAGAATGAACGGTTGGATAAGGGGGATGATAGAACTTGTATGCAGCATGGGAAGCATAGAAAGATTGCCCAAAACTTTTTACTTAATCACCATGTTTACAAATAAAGATATATTCTCCTTAAATACAATTTAAAATAAAAATGAAAGATAACTATCTTATGTTTATCAACCCATTAAGAGATAACAACCTCAACCTCCACAAAAATAGAAACTATATCTTTTATAAAAATTTATCATAATCAAATATTAAGAGAATTTTTTAGTCTTAAATCTCTACAACTAAATCATACAATAATAACTTTAAACAAAACAAAAAATTCAAATAACACATTTTTTTGTATTTTAAAAATATAAAAATGATAAATTAAAAAATCCAATTTTTATTTCCATTAGCTTGAGGGCCAGAATCACTAAGTTGTTTCGGCACCCAAATCTTCTCTTTTTAGAACATCGGCATGAACCCAACAAATTCAAGGTTTTAAATTTTGATAACTTGAATTGGACTTGCCCTACTTAGCTCGAAATCAATGGGTGGATGGTTCTAATTTGAGGAACCTGGAATCCACCAGTTTACTTTTTTAAAAAAAATTTATTATCTCTATAGTATTCATATGATAATTCAATTCCAAGGATCGCTAGACTAAAGTCGGTCGACTCTGAAGGCGATTCAAAGCCCGATTCATTTTAAACACTTGTTTGAACTTTGTACCGAACTGGTTTGATTTTTTGATTTTGAGAATGGTAAATAAATTATCTATGTTGATTACATTAAATTATTTTACATTGATTAATGTCTCACAAATTCCTTGAGGTTTACTTTAATTTGATAAACCAACTATATTTATAACTTTGTATATAGGTTGATATTTAACTAGGTAAAAAAAAGATAAGTCGGTTGATAAATGGCTTGAACCACATTTCATTTGTGAGTTGTTTTTTCTATGTAAAGTCAAATATCATTTGAATATTGAAATAGGAAGCAAGTTGGACATGTGATATTAAGCACTTCATGTTACTTGATGTGATTTTATTTAATATTTATTTGTGGACTTTGGTCATGCAGGGTATTGAGACTCATCTCATCTAAAACCCATTATATTGACTTTATTTTAACATATTACCCAAAATTCCTATTAATATATAATGGGTGTGGTTTGTATAAGGCCGAGGCTCTAAACTATCAAACTAAGGTGTATCTTCAAATTGTATCAAAAGATGTTGTTTTAGTGCTGAAAACTTTTATAATGCTCTAAAAATTTATTTTCATAACTAATTATAAAATTTAAAGCTTAACAAATAATGAAGATCGAGCAAAAATTTATGAACACTTGAAAATTTTGAAAATTGACTGTCTAAAAAGTGCATTACAACAAGATGCACCATTTATAATACTTGAAATCCATTTTTTCTTATTTTTATGTATCTCAAGGTCGAGATGGTCGATTGAAGGATTTTTGAGCATCGAAACAACCTCTTATAGTGAATTTTTGAGGTGAGCCTTGATTTTATTGTTTAAGGCCGTACCCTTATGTAATTTTGTTTCATATAGAAAAAGGATCTTATGAATAATATTAAAGTAATCCAAACGATGTCGTGTGGTGCGATGGTAAAAGGCTTGAGCTACCAGTATGAAAACGTAGGTTCGAACTCTGAGAGCGGGTACTTTGTGCAAAAATGACAAAGGTTAGGACCATATCCACTCTGCCCCTCCCGGGATCCTACACAAGCGGGACCATAACTGGGTTACGTCCTTTATTAAAGTGGTCATAACTTTTAATGATGAATTTGGTTATAGTACAAGTCTAGTAAATTATATTAAGGGAAAGCTTTCTATGTCCCCCCTACAACATATAAGTTATATCTTCCCCCATATCCAACCGTCAACTTTTTTATGGAGGGCTAAAAGTGGCCCAATCACAATGTCACATCCCTACACTATTTTATTTATAATTTTATTTCTATAAGCTGTTTTGAGACGTCCATTCCTCTACTAAACTCGCACTAACGAAAAATATAAAAAAATATTTTCAATAAAATAAAATGATCAAAATACCACTAAATTTTTCGAATGGTATTTTGGTCATTATATTTTATCGAAAATTTATTTTTAATAATTTATATAGGTGCGCCCCAGTGAGAAGATGACACATACCAAATTTCATATTCAGAAAAATTATATTAAAAAAAATTAAAAATAAAATACTTTGAGATGTCAAATCTAAGATCAAACGGTGAATGGCTCTCTTGATAAAAAATGGACGGCTGGATGGTAGGAAGATAGAACTTCTATGTTATAGGGAGAACATAAAAAGCTTCCCCCTTAAATTAAAGTGGTCATATATTCTTGACGTTGCTGAAGTAATTTTTTTTTTTTGTAGCTGGTTGGAGTCGAACTTGAGATGTTGGAATCGAACTTGAGATGTTGTGCTGCTAAATATCAGCCGTTCACAAGTTAAGCCCAAATCCAATTCCTAGTTACCGAGACAGTGAATTTCTATTACAATTACTCATCCACCAATGTTTTAAATAATTTACCAATATCTAAGCTGTTTGAATTTGTTTGACTTTTTAAACAGTTCATGTTGAATACTTCGTTAAGTTCTTAATTGTATTGGATAATCTTTTTCTCCTTTTTAACTTGCAGAGTTAAATATATATATATATATATATATATATATATATAATGCATACAATAAAAACATTACCTAGTCGCAAGTTACAAAATCAGGAGGCTAGAGAAAGTTGTTATTTGAAAATATCACAATCACTTGATTTCCCATCTGATGGTCCAGGATGATTGTAGCTATTTTGTATTCGAGATAAATTGTCTTATGATATACAATTCCAAATAATAATTTATGACCCGGTTTCTATGTGGCCAAGCCCATGTATGTTGAAATGTAAGCCTATTAATAAATCTAATTTTTAGATGGATTTTTTAAATTAATTTTTAAGGACATATAATCTTTAATATGGAAATCGTGAATATGAAAAAACCAGTTAAAAAACTAAAAATAATAATTCTAATAAGAAAACATTTGAACAGTTAGTTTTCATTTTTCTAGATGGGACACCAACTTGCATCCATCTTTAAGATGGATGATCCTTCTTTAAGATGGATACTTTACATGTTTTGGACTGCATATGTAGTCATGCGGTCCAGCCCACATGAAACAATCTTCCATAATTTATCTATACATTTGGAGTTAGTTTCAAATGATACGTTATAAAATTGAGGGGGTTTCTCTTTATTTATTATAAGTTGGAAAAAATAAAAAATGTTATAAAAACCAATGCGCTTATAACCAGAGTTCAAGCCACTTTGAAAAATAAAAGTTTGTTGGACCCCAAAGTTTACACACATGTATGTGCCATCTAGGTGACCAAAATGACAAAAAATAATTTGAACGGAAGAAATAGAAAAGATAAGTCCGCCATTTTCAGTAAACACTGGTTGCTCAAGGTAAATTAGAAAGTCAAAATCATATTTTGGACTCTGTAATTTTTCATCAGAAAAATATCTATTAAAACCCCTTACAAAATCACTAATTGAAATAAAAATTTAAAAGCAAATTATCAAATGTAACTTGTCATAATTTCACCTTTTAGTGATTTTGCAAGGGGTTTCAACCCCTTAATTAGTATTTTTATTTTTTTCATACAAAATGACGTGTAATATTTCAGCCCCAAAAAACATCTATAGCTATAAGTCATGCGTTTTTATTCCCAAAATAAAGTGTAATTCAAACTTTTTTGAAACGATATAGTTTCTACAATGCCCAGGCTATGAAAATGAATTAAAACCTCACCTCAAATCCCCGTTTGGAAAGTATTTTGGGCATCGAAAATCTCAATAATGGCTTTAGAATCAATCTTCAATATTATCTATAGAATTTGAAGTTCAAAAAAACGGTACAAATCTTTTAGATCCCTCAACATTTATTTTTAAGACAAAATGAACGGTCTATAAAATATACTACAAAATATACTATTTTTAAAACCTAAAATCCTATTTTTTTTAACAAACATAATGATCAAGACCAAAATGATAAATTTAAAAAATTTTCAACTAGGTTTTAGATAGGGCTCAGCCATATCTAATATCCGTTTTTTTACTTTTTTCCGCTTTGATAGGGCTACGCCATATCAAATATCTGTTTTTACTTTTTTTCCCGTAATTTTAAAAAACTAAAATTAGGAATACAATTTTATTATGAAAAGCGTGCGGAAAGGCGTCTCTCTCCTTTCTTGTCTATAAATAGGGCCATGCCCCTACAACGTAATTCATTGCTTTAGTTTCAGAGCATTTTTTCTTCTCTGTACTTGTGCAGATTCCGACCATTATCCGTGGGATTCCAATCATTATTCCGGCCAACATCCACTAATTCCGTCCAAATATCGATCGCCTTCTTTGCTTAGCTTACCTCACATCTACTTTCCCAAGATTTCCGGTGACGTTCCGGGACCATAACCTTGCTTTTCCGGCTACATATGCCGGATAGTTCATTTTGAGGCGGGTTCCACTGATTCCATCACCATCAAATCCCGGGTTCTTATTGATCTGGACCAGTTTCTGATTTCAATTTCTGGATAAGGCATCAGATTGGGGCAAAACGTGCCGGAAAATTGAGTTTTCCGGAAAAATTTAGCTGGAGTGGAGAAGATTGGAGATGGAGCAGAAACAGTTATTGACTGCTTTAGGGGTCGGGCTCGGTGTTGGTCTAGGGTTCGGATTCGCTTCGGGAACCAGGTGGTCATCTAGTAATGGCCCAAATTTAGCAGAGAATGTAGAGATTGAGCTTATGAAGCTAGTCTCAGAGGGCAAGCACACAGGGATCACCTTTGACGAATTTCCCTACTATCTAAGGTAAAAAGAGAGGAAACTAAAAGTAGCATACACATGTTGTGCACGGTACATGACATCTCTGTACCTTTCATTGTTGGGAATGGACGGTGGATATTGCCATGGTTGATGAGTGTATGCTAAACGTACACCACGTGGTTATCCACCCTCCGTTTTTCACGATAGAGTTCGACGGCAATCCCCCGCTTCCTCTTTCCACCGTTCACTTTTGGGAATGGAAGGGTGCATATCACCGTTAATTTTTGGGTATGATACACCACAGGGTTATCCACCGTCTGTTATATGATGATATGCGGTGGAGAGTCGGTTGATTGCTTACGATGCACTACTGGTGCATGGACTCTTTTCAATGCAGAAGTAGATAATTGAGTTCTTTTTGTATCGTTGATATCCACGGTTCATCATTGGGAATGGACGGTGGATATCTCTATGATGATACAGGGTGTATACATTTTTTCTTTTTTTTTGGATAGTTCAGTAAAGTAGAAGGAAATAATTGGCTTCTGTTGGTATTCTGAGTTGTTTAGGACCGTCCGATGAGCTGTTAACAAAATACAGCTGTCGGATTGATGTTACGGCTTTATTTTCCGTCGAATGGATATCAATGAATCATGACCAGCCGATCAGAAGATAACGGGGCCAGCCGACGTTATCTGGGATTTTTTTTCCAAAAGATAACGAGGCTAACGCCCGTTATATAGAGTTTTTGTTGATGGTTTCTGTCTTCTTTAATTTTTTTAGGGAAAAGTTTACATAGAGCATGGGCTCTAAACAATCAAATTAGAGTCCACATCAAAAGTTTCACTAGAATAGGTTGTTTTGATACTTAAATCTCATCAAATTGATTATCGCTACATCAAGATGCATGGACATGACAAAAAATAGATTTTAAGTTTTGAAAATATTACATCTTGTAATATATTTTTTGAACGTCAATTTTCAAGTTTTTTAAGTTTTCATAAATCTGTTCAATTTACATTATTTTTTATACTTTAAATTTTATAATTAAAGATGAAAATATATTTTAAGACTATCATAAAGATTTTCAACATTGAAACCATATTTTTCGATACTATTTGAAAGGCGGCTTTACTTTGATTGTTTAGAGCCCAGGCCCTTTACAAACCGCACTCTTTTAGATATCTAGTGTCCCTTTTCCTAGATTCTCTTTCTTTCTGTCTCTTTTATTGGAATTTAATGTGTGACAAGCTTTTGAAGGGTTTCTACTTTAGGGTTTTATGCGTCAAAAGTATGCCGTCCACATCATGTGGGCGGATCTTCCAATGAATGAGATTTCTCAAGGCCATATTAATTAGTGGCCAAAAACCAATGTCAAATTTTACTATTTATTTTATATTTTTTAAAATAAGGAAAATTACGTAAATATATTTTTTATATTATATTATGTTATTACGAATAATACCTTATACATATGTCCGTTTTTAAATCTTCATAACAGTTTTTTTTTAAAAAAGACTAAACTACTTTTAAATAAAAAATGATCAAAATATTCCTAAATTTATTTTATTTCATTTTTAATTCAAAATATTTATATTGTTTTTATTCAATTCTAATTATAAAATAGAACTAAAATTAAAATTTTAGATTAATATCATTTTTAAATAAAAAAATAAAATTCATTGTTGGCCCTCTGATGATTCAATCAGAAACACAAACCCGGCGCTTAATTTGGAGCACATATACTATGCTCCCATGGGAGCCTAGTGTCTATTTAGTCCTTCCATCAAAATACCTACTTAGGAGGATTTTTTCGCGTTGATATTTTGAGAACCACCTAAGAATCACTAGAGCTTTATTTTTAAAAGAAAAAGAATGGAATTTTGTGTTTTTTGACCCTATCCAGCCTGCAAAATTTGAATGGTCTTTATTCAATCTTGAGACATTAGAGAGTTCAATTGGAATATTCTTATTGTTGAAGTTAGACAATGTACTGCAGAGGTTACATCCCCAAAACATTGGAATATTCTTCTGATTGAGGTTAGACAATGGGCTGCAGAGGTTACATCCCAAAATTGGGGTCCTAAAGTTACTCCCCTCTTGGATTTTACCTGAGGGATTAATCTTGGGCGTTATTTTCTTTCTAGCAGAGAGAGTTCAATTTGATTTGATTTTATTTTTTATTATTGAGATTAGTCTATTGGTTGAAAAGGTTACATCTCGAAAATTTGGTATCCTAAAATTACTCATATCTTGGATTTTACTCCAGGGAATGGACAATATATACTCTTGCGGGAATATAAAATCTTTTGGCTAGAATTTATATGGATATGAGGCTCCTAGTTGTTGTCACATGATATTAGATGGCTGGATGTCTCCACAAATATATCCATTGTATATCTCTTTAATAATATCTAGCTTCTATAGATATTGAGTTTATTATTGTATATCTCTTTAATAATATCTAGTTTGTATAGATATTGAGTTTATTATTGTATATCTCTTTAATAATATCTAGCTTGCATAGATATTGAGTTTATTATATGTTAGTTGTGCTCACTTGAACAAGCTATAAATCCATTTTTGTTTCAAGTTAGATCTACCAGACGTGATACGGTCTTGGACCCGGACCCAAGCCACTGTTTTTTGTTTTAACAATCTGTCAAAAGTTTCTACAGGCTCTTTACTTCCATTGTTAACCCTTTAAATCAATGGAAATTTCAAAAGTGGGCCTCACTGAATTTATAGTGTCACCCAATAAATTTTTCCCTTTATTCCGCAAAGTTTTATTTTCCTGACACACAATATTCTAAAAGATTCATGCATACATGTATGTATATAATCTGTTAATATTTTAAACCTATATTGTTAAATGTACGATGTTTCCATTAAATTAGTAATTTATCTTACATTTTTAATTTTCTTATTTTTTGATCAAATATTTATTTACTTCTTATTATTACAGCGAGCAAACAAAAATGTTGTTGACCAATTCAGCCTATGTGCATCTAAAACAAACTGAGCTGAGCAAATACACGAGAAACCTCTCATCAGCAAGCAAAGCAATTCTCTTATCAGGCCCAGCAGGTAATTAAATGCAAAGCTCTAATTCCTATACCATTTGTTATATTTTATTTTGAAAATGGTTTTTATTTAAATTAATAAACAATTAGTTAGCACTTAATTAGTATTTTTTGTAATGTAAACTTCATCCCAATTGCATTAACTTATTTGTTAGATTACTTGTAGTATGGATACTCGGTGGTTAATTACAATTTCAAAGCATAGGATTCATTTGTTATATGTTAGCCGAGTCCCTTATTTGTCTTCAAATGGCCCATCAATTTGAATATTGAAATTCCTATCATTTTCAATTGCCAATTTTTATTTATTTATTTTATTATTATTATTTTTTAAAGACTAGGCCAATTTCCTGAATAAGATCCATCATCGGAAACCATTTGTGCCCACTCTCTCAATTGCCTTCAATCATTTTCAAATGGATGGTGAATAGTATTTATCAAGAATTAAGTTTTTCACTTTTCTATTTTATGAGAAGAGTAAAAAAATAAAAAATCGAGTGGTTGTAAGAATTTACTAAGGTAGAAATATGTCATTTATTTTTGGTACAAATATGTCACAATCACATTTGGTTGTCAGATTTCAAATCGAGTAGCTGTAAGAATGTCATTGACTAGATTCAAAAAATTCATTTTAAAAAAATCTCAAACTTTGTGACACACCCCAAGCCACCCATGTTATCTAATGGGCAGGAGTAAAAAACTCTCAAAGACAAATCGTCTCATAGCATACAATCCCTATATTTAAATGTTTGAATTGCCTTCTTCAGGGTTGGGAAATCTTAATAAGCAGGGCATTTTAGTAATTTCATTCACCTAAACAAGCAGCTACTCCCACCATTTAATTTGGGCTTTTTAAATATTTCAAATTGTTGAAATGTCCTTACTTATTCAGGTTCCCAATAGTGAATGTGGGCTGTTTAAATATTTTTTAATATGTTTTTTGAGGAAATACTCAAGTAAAATAAAAATTAAAAACAAACCCCATATTATTAAAGAAAATTGTTTCATGCTGGCTGGGCCGCATTTCTACATATGCAGCCCAGAAGTGTAAAGCATTCATCTTAAAGAGGGATGCAAGTAGGTGGTCCATCCGCCCATGAAAAAACAATGGAAACTAATGGTCTAAATGTTTTTTTAATAGTATTATTATTTCTAGTTTTTAAAATGTATTTATTTTTCATATTCGTGATCTCCATGTTAGAGATTACATGTCGTTAACAATTAAGTCCAAAAATCGATCTAAACAATAAGATTTTAAGAGTCATCGCATTTCTACATGTGTGGGCTTGGCCCCGCATGCTGACCGCGTCCTATTGTTAATTCAGATATTATAAACGATTTTTAATGATTTTGTAAGGGGGTTTGACCCCTTAAATAATACTCTATCGCTCTTCATGCTATCGACAACAACTGTACTCTTACTTCTACTAATTTGCTAAGGCTAATAAAGTTAATAACTTAATAGTATTGGGTTATTTTTATGTGCACAATGGGTGTCAGTGACCCAAAGTTTGATGACCTCACTATACAAATTTGAAGGTCTTTTGTATAGCATGCAACTCAAATTTGCATTTCCAGGGTCATTCAGAGGAGAGTTACCCACTTTGTGCATGTAAAAATAATCCTTATTTTCAATGATTCTTCATAGTATCATAATTATATTTTATTATTATGGAAATGGTTCCCAAATCCTGTTAATTAAGCCACAATATTTGAGTTTATTGAGACATTTGCTTCGCTTTAGATACATGGCGTTGTTAGTGGAAATTTTCAGTACTGGCTGATGGATTGGGGGTGCCTGTAAAAGTAATTAGCAAGGTTAGATGTGAATGAGAATCAAGTGGTTACTTCCTTTAAATGTTAATAAGGATAATTAACTTGATTTTGTTTGATTAATTGCAGAACCCTATCAGCAAATGCTTGCAAAGGCCCTAGCCCAACACTTTGAAGCCAAACTCCTCTTATTCGACGTAACAGATTTCTCCTTAAAGGTACATCCAGTTACTTGGACTTGGCAGGGTGCCCAGGCTCGGCCAGTTCATATATTTTTTCCGTTTTTTTTTTTTGGGTAATTCAGTGGGGAATACACACCCCTACCCGTTTTTAAATGGTTAGTGGTTTTTGAAGTTTATCTGAGAACTTGACCGAGTTTGTGCGTTTGACTCGGACTCGGTATCCTGCCATGTCCCAAGTACGAGCGTTGGTTTTTTTCTATCATTGGGTACATTATAATTCTGCAAGGAATAGATGAAGATTTGAAAAATGGCATCGCATGTTAATACGATGTAAGACTTCTCACATGAACCATGACATCACTAACATGAAATTTAGGCTATCGTTTTATAAATTGTTTAAAGATGATGTTGTAGAACACCCAAGAAATGGGCTATGTATTGTCCAAAAGTCATCCCAATTATGGGCCTCAATTCGCATATTCCTTCAATTATTATCTATTTATTACATGTCACACTTACTCCTGGAGGAACCATATACTTAATTTCTTCCAAAGTCTCTAAATTTCCATGGTAAATAATTGCAATATCCTGCATTTTGAACAGGTTTGGAGTTTCTGCTGATTTAAAACGTAAATAAATATTTCAGTTTGTCTCACAAAACAATTCAATAAATGTTTTTTTTTTTAATATGTAAATGTTTATATTCAAAGTAAAGTTTACAAGTTACAAAAAATGGCAACCCATAAACGAAACAATTCTATAAATGTTGCTAACTCTTTTTTCATTTGGCCGCAGATACAAAGCAAGTATGGTAGCAATAACAATGGGACTGAAGTTGTAAGCCCCAATTCTTGTATTTTTCATTTAAATTATAGTCTTCGAAACTGGTATAGGTCTCACATTTCATTAATATTTAATGTTTAACTTTCAGACTTCTTCAAACTTGATGTCCTCGAAAACATTTGATTGCTTCTCAAACCTTCTCGAGCGTCTTTCAATCCCTTCTCTAAGAGATGAACTTGGACTCAGGTATACATACTGCATATTGTAATGATTATCATCGTTGTTGTTGTTATTGCCATCATCATTATTACACCTTAGATTTCTTTGTTCAATCTATTTTTATGTCAAGTATGATTTCAAGTGAAAATGGTAAAAAGTAAATATGATATTCTCATATCCAAGATAATGCCGACTAGAGAAAATAACTTGAATATCTCTATATTAATATACACTTTTAAGTACTTTTTTTTTCTATTGGCCCATGTGACCATGATTTTTCATGGTGTGCTCAGAAGAAAATGATATAATAATTGGAGCATATATCAATGAATGAGGAACTTGGTTGCTTTTCTAGTTCTTCCAATTTTGCAGCCTCAACTGCTTCTCACATATTTTTGGTACTGCACTTGGCATTTGAACCTTGAATATCAGGTTGTGAGGTATTCGCCCTGTAACCACCAAACCAAGAGAATGAACCCCTTACTTTTGGATATCTCATCATAACAGAAATGTCACTCTTTTTTTTTTATTTAATGACAAGTTAATGGCTGTCATTTTAATATTCAGAAACAAGTGTTGTTTCAGTTCTGGTACATTGACTCATCTATAGTTATGCTCACTATCTTCTCCACTTAGTGTCTATGAGTGTGTGTTAAGAGGAAAACTCATGGTCGCTTAGGGAAAATCAATGAATGAGGTTTGGAGTATTTAATATTTCCCTTAAATATCGTGCTAAGTTACTGAATTGATTTTAACAGGGGAGCAGAAGGTACTATTAAAGGCAATGGAACCTGTAATAGTGGACCTTCATCTTCAGGTACTCTTCAATTTTTTTTATTATATATATATATATATATATATCAAGCATGTTTCGAAGTGCCCTACTCTAATACATGCATCAAGTATAGGACACGCCCATAATCTATCCACTTTATGCAGTAAATTTCTTAGTTTCTTAAGATCCTAAGTTTCTTGAACTAACAGGTGCAGTCACAGCTAAGAGATCAAATCAATGGGCATTTGATGAAAAATTACTTGTGCAATCCCTTTACAAGGTACTGAATTGTTGATTACGTTAATACATAAATATCTATTATTATTGTTGTTGTTGTTATTGATGATTATGATGACCATGATGATGGTGATGATCATTTGAGAAATTAATAACAGGTTATCAGCTCTGTGTCAAAAACTACACCAATCATCCTATATCTACGAGATATTGAGAAGCTTTTGTCTAAATCTCAAAGAATGTACTCTTTATCCCAAAAGATGATAAGCAAGCTCTCAGGCCCTGTCCTCATATTGGGCTCAAGGATATATGATCATTCATGTGACAAAGACAACTCCATAGTGATTGATGAGAAAGTGTTACAGCTCTTCCCTTACAAGATAGAAGTGAAGCCCCCTGAAAATGATGCAGAGTTGGCACAATGGAAGATTCAATTAGAGGAAGACATGAAGGTGATACAAGTTCAAGATAACAGGAATCACATAACTGAGGTTCTTACTGCTAATAATCTTGATTGCGATGACCTTAGTTCGATATGCGTGGCTGACACTGAGGTCCTTAGCAATTACATAGAGGAAATTGTGATGTCTGCTTTCTCTCATCACCTAAAGAACAACGAGTCTCCTGAGTACAGGAATGGGAAGCTTGTTATTTCAGCTAAAAGGTAAAACCGCAAAGCAGTATCGTAATTTTTGTTGTTTGTTGTAGTCTATCATTATTATTATTGGTGATGATGATGTTGATGGTGATTTGCTCATGATTATCATGGTATTCAATTAAGTGATAACTTCTCTTTTATAATTTGATGTAAAATATTATTTTTCAAATTACAATCAACTGGTCAGTGCTTTAGTTCTTGCTATTGTATATACAGAGAAATTACTAAGTTCTCAATTATTTCTTTAATTAATATGAATGAAACACTTTTACTTTCTTTTTAATGGACAGTCTTGCGCACGGGCTAAGTCTATTTCAGGAAGATGACGTAAATGGAAATGATTCACTGCAGATAGGGGCCAGTTCTGAGTCTGTAAAGGTATGCTAAATTTCTAATGTTTAAATTTTTATCATAGTTTAATTTTAGAAAATACAAATTCTAGATACTAGACAACCGATATTTTTTTGTTCTATTATAGATTATGCTATACAGATAAATCTTTGACACCCTTTCTTCAACTTCTCCTTTTCATAGGGATACTTTAAATAATTTTTATTATGATTACTGCTAATTATGAAGATATTTTTGAACTGTAATGCTTATTTCAGGAGACACAAGATGAAACTGGTTCTTCCACTGAAAAGACGGAGCCAAAAGCCGAAGCTGGGGCACCTGAAAACAAAACAGAAGGGGAGAAGTCAGGCCCAGCAGCTAAGAAGGAGAGTGATGGCGTCAAACCCCTTAAGGTAAACTGAGGTGATGTTTTTATTTATAATTTGTTTATGTTTTGGGTGAATACATGCTTACAATGATAATTTGGACCTTAACTTTAGTATTTTTGCTGCAATTCCCTAACTTAGCAAAGATGTTGAATACCATCTTGTATGAAATCTCTGAATCACCTGAATCTTTCTTGACTACTCAAAGGACCCTTATCTCATTTCATTTCCTTTTATTTTTCCACTTTTGCGGACTACAGGAAGTAGTTCCAGACAACGAGTTCGAGAAGCGAGTACGGCAGGAGGTAATCCCTGCAAGCGACATTGGGGTGACCTTCTCAGACATTGGAGCACTAGAAGATACCAAGAAGGTCCTCGAAGAGCTCGTAATGCTCCCACTCAGAAGGCCTGACCTCTTTAAGGGAGGTGGCCTCTTAAGACCATGCAGAGGAATCCTACTCTTTGGCCCTCCTGGAACTGGAAAAACCATGTTGGCTAAAGCCATTGCTAAAGAAGCAGGGGCTAGCTTCATTAACATGTCTATGTCTAGTGTGACATCTAAGTGGTTTGGAGAAGATGAGAAGACAGTAAGAGCAGTGTTCACATTGGCTGCAAAATTGGCACCCACCATAATATTCATTGATGAGGTTGACAGTATGCTGGGTCAGAGGTCAAGGACTGGGGAGCATGAGGCCATGCGTAAGATTAAGAATGAGTTTATGGCTCATTGGGATGGGCTGCTCACTAAGTCCAATGAGAGGATACTTGTTTTGGCTGCCACTAACAGACCCTTTGACCTTGACGAAGCTATAATCCGTCGATTCGAGCGCAGGTATATCTATAGAACTGATGTTCTTGCCTGGGCACCCAAACAGGCATGCACATGCACACACACAAATTAAATGTTTGTGAAATGTATCTTCCCATTCTTGGATCTAGACTTAAGCATATCATCCTATGCTTTAACCTAGATTTGAAGTACTCTTTCTTTAGTGCAAATCACTTTTGAATAATTTGGTTGGTGATTTCTTTAATGCAAGTCACTTTTGAGTAGCAATACTTTTTGTAATTTGGTTGGGGAAAAGATTAAAAAAGACCCCTTTGAGAGGGAGAATTATGTAACACAATTATTGCACTAATGGAGCTTGATATGTGTGACATTCAATGAAACTAAGATAGCTCATCTTGGCATTCATTTTGGTGTTTTCTTATTTTGCAGGATAATGGTTGGTCTACCCAGTGTGGAGAGTAGAGAAATGATTCTTAGGACACTTCTTGCGAAAGAGGCGACCGAAGAGCTTGACTTCAAGGAGCTTGCCTCCATGACTGAAGGATACTCTGGCAGTGATCTCAAGGTTTCTTCTTCACACATACAGAGAGAGAGAGAGAGAGAGAGAGAGAGAGAGAGAGAGAGAGAGAGAGAGTATTTACTTTACTTCTTCTTCTCGTCGTCTATTATATGTAGTATAGTATATAGTAGTAGTAGGTACGTTACTTACGTACTTCGTGTCTTCGTCTCTGGTATCTA